ACGAACATTTAAAAGAAGCATCAGATAGTTCAGAAATAGTTTTAAAAATTAAAAATGTAACAAAAATATTTTTGACTGAAGACACTGAAATAGGCGAACTATCAAAAAATATTTCAAATACAGTCACAAATGACAATGAAAGTCCAGAAAAAGTCCTGACGGCCTTTCCAGATGTAAAAAACGAAAGGTATCCATCCGATTTTGGTCACTATCCACAAAATCTTACGAAGGATATGAAGAGATTTATTTTGAGTTGTGGCCCTTGTAGACCAAAAGATATCAGCTTCCCCAAAAATCAAGATGGCAGATCGTTTTCTTCTCTTTACTACACCAAGATTAATAAATCGGGTTTAAAAATAGACAGGTTTTGGCTTTGCTATTCACCTAAACTTAATAAAGTCTATTGCGAACCATGCTGGTTATTTTCGAACAAGGACACGATGTGGACAACAGGACTACAGCACTGGCAAACATTGTCTGTACGAATAAAAAAGCACGAGGGAAGTTCTCATCATATCGCAAGCTGTATTGTAAAGAAAAATTGGGAAGCAAATAATTGTATAGATCAAATGCTGGAAAAGTCTGTAAAAGATGAAATCAATTTTTGGCGATTAGTTTTAGAGAGACTAATCAAAATAACTTTAAAATTAGCAAAAAATAATAATAGTTTTCGTGGACACAGAGAAAATACCTCAGATACATATATAGGTAATTTTTTATCTGATGTTAAATTATTGGCAGAATACGACACTGTAATGAATGAGGTTGTAAAAATGCCCTCAGGCACTACTAAGTATTTGAGTCCTGCAATTCAAAATGAATTAATTGATTGTTTAAGTAGCTGTTTGAAAAGGAAGCTGGTGGAAGAAATTAAAAGTTCCCTTTTTTTTTTCTATCATAGCCGATACTACGCAGGACATCTCAAAGCACGACCAACTAAGTGTTATTTACAGATATGTAAAAGTAATCAAAGATGATGAGACAAATATACCGACTGATCTCAGTATTGAAGAATCTTTCCTCGGCTTTTGTCCCATAACAGATCAATCAGCTAAAGGTATTTCTTCATACCTATGTAATATTTTGGAAGCAAATGAAATTGATTTTTCAAAATGTCGAGGACAAGGATATGATGGAGCAAGTAATATGAGCGGAATATATAATGGAGTGCAAAAGCGCATTCAAATAATACAACCAAATGCTCTCTACGTACATTGCGCCGCCCATAATCTTAACTTGGTTCTCAGTGATGCAGTGCAAGGTGTAAGAGAACTACGCAAATATTTCGAAATTCTTCAGAATATTTACGTGTATTTCGGTGACAGCTTAAAAAGATGGGGTTTACTTTCTTCAGGAGACTCTGAAATTACTATCAAAAATTTAAATCCTACAAGGTGGGCTGGACAATTATCATCTTTGATAGCAATTAAAATAAGATACCGTAATTTCCGGAAGAAACGCCGCGGCGTTTACGTGTTTAAAACTTAAATTTTCAGCGGATGTGGCGTTTCTACCCATGTGGCGTTTAGGTGCACTAAAAATAAAATATTTCCTATGATGGTCATTGTACATAGTTTGGATGGCCTTGTCATTGTGAATAGACTGGTGCTGTTCCCACACAAAAGACCACTCAGTTGCTTTTTGCGAACGTTATTTTGTTTACATTCTTTCTCTTGAACGGACCTACATGCCTTATTCACCCTAAACGATCTCAAACAATAACATTCTTCCCCCTTTCAAATCAACATTCTCATCAGTTTGAATAGTCTCTCTCCTCTGCCATTCGATGAATCTTCCGGGACCATCCTCTCCCCACCCCTGCCTTTTCTGCAAATTTTTTTCAAAGGCGGACACGACTCCACCTGCCTCGCAATAACGAACTCTGACATATTTCCCCTTCAGCATGAATGGATTTTTCTTGGCATTCTGCCAAATACAGATCCCATCAGTTTGAGTACAAGTACTTGTTGGATAGTTTTTAAGTAAGAAGGGAGAGGAAAATTTTGAAAATGTCTCTAAACGGCACAGAAGCTGTACATTTCTTACCTTTAATTTATTTTTGAGTTATGGTTTCATTTCATGCATTTTTCTTAACTGGTATGTCATATATCAGGACTTAGGTTGAGTTTTTGCATCTATACGGCCCACGACGATGTCATGCGCAATTTAATTTATTGCGGTGTTTACGCTGATGCTGCCTTTCTGTGTAATTTAAATTTTTTTCCAGCCATTTTTCTCGAGTGCGGCGTTTACGCTGATGCGGCCTTTCTTCCGGGAATTACGGTACTTTGACATCTTGAAAACATTAAATGAAATTATATTAATGTCAAAAAAAGCTCAAGAAAAAGACATTGCAAATGGGTTAAAAAGAAAAATGGAATCTTTTGAATTTTTATTCTTAATTTTTATGGAAAAGGTTTTATCTTTTTACTAATGCAGCATCTCAATTATTACAAAGAAAATCAATCGACTTGAATGGAGCTCATAAAAATCTAAAGAACATTTTTATTAATATTCAGGATATGAGAAACAAGTTTGAAGACATTATGAAAGAAGCTGAGTTTATTGCAAATAAATGGGGCATAGAAACTATATTTGAAAATAAAAGACAAAAAAAAATTGTTGACGAGTTGTGTAAGGATAACAGGTTTGAAAATTTCAAAATATCTTTTAAAGTATCAGTTTTTTATGCTGCTCTTGACATTTTAAATACTCAGCTAAAGTACAGAATGACTGGAATGACAAAAATTGCAATGATGTTTTCATTTTTGAAACCTAAAACTCTGTCATCCTTAACAAGCAATGAAATTATTAATAATGTGTCAAAAATACAGAAAATATATAAAGAAGACTTTACTAATGCACTGTTAGTATTTATAAGTACAACTGTTATTATTTATAAATACTTTCAGAACAGAAATCCAAAATTTGAAATTCGTTAAGGATTTAGCTAAATTAGCAATGGTCAAATATTATGACATGGCAAGCAGTTATTCGGAAGTGTGCAATTTACTTATATTGTATTTATCATTACCTGTAACCACAGCCACGAGTGAGAGGTCATTTTCAAAATTGAAACTAATAAAAACATATTTGAGAAACGCTATGACGCAAGATCGGTTGTCAAACCTATCACTGTTGAGCGTTGAAGCTGAGATGGCTGAGAAAATGGACGTCCAGGTAATTGGTAAAAAATTTTGCGGAGGCGCAAATTTTAGTAAAGAAAGATTTTTTTTTATGATCCACCAGTGTTATAATTACAATTATTGATGGGAAAAACATTAGAGAAGGACTGAGGAAAATTAAAAGGAAACAGGAAAAAACTTGTAGCATTCATATTTTTTATAAAAAATCATGTATTCAAGTAGTCTAGTGTACCAAAAAGTTTTTAAAAAGACAGGGGAAAAACTTTACCATACATATTTTCTCCAAAAATTGTATGTTCAAATTGTTTTTTATGAAGTCTATGGTAAATATGTTTTATATTTAACAAATGTATCATTTACATTATAAAAGTTCTTATTTATTACTTTATTATTGCATAAGTCATGTTGGTAAGCTGAGTAAATCACGCAAAGTACTATATATTAGTGTATATCTTTTCTGTACGTTTGTCTATTATCTTGTCTGTCAGTTTATAATATAACCAGTTATTTAAGTTTGCTAAATTCAGTGAAAAAAAAAACTTAGATTGGTGCAGATTTTATATAAAAATTCAAACATATTTCAAAATTTATTTGATTTATATAAAAATTCAAAACATATATATATTACAAACTTGAAACCTCTTGGATTTTATATAAAAATCTCCGCAAATCTAAGCTTTCTTACTTTTCTTAATGCTATACTTTACGTGACATATTCCTTTTTTATACAGACTTATTCATTTATTATGAATATGTATCTCAGTGAAAGGAGAGAAAAATCCGTCTTTCGCACGCACACAAAAAGTCTTAAATAACTGATTAAAATCATCTGATGTCAAATACCCAGACTAAAGCAAATTTCACAGTTGATCAAGGGAAAATATTTTCCTTTTTATTCTTTCTTCATGTTCCTTACATTTCAACTGGTTCCCTAAGGATGTGCTTTTATTTTTTAACAAATAATCCACATGTAATAAACACTGGCTCGTGAAATCCTTCATTTTTTAAAACTTTTTAAAAATTTTAATTTTAATTTTTAAGCACATTAAATTTATTGAGGGAGAGTCCCAGGAAAATTTTTGCATAGGGGTCCAAGAGTTCTAGTTACGCCACTGCTTCCATTATCTAAAACATTTCATTTGCAACTGATTAACTAAAACAAATAACAGTTCATTTTAAGTAACTTGCCACCCAGTTGTCACAGTGATTAGAAAGCCTATTACCTTGGCCTCAGGTTTGAATCTCAGAGAAGCTATGGATGTTTGTAGCCATCTCTCCATTTTGTAATGTGCATCGATCACACCCCTGCAGTGCATCCCGGGCAACATTCTGGTAAAGAAACTGCTAAATGGGCTCAACGAATGCTTGCAGAACAAGTGCTCTGCCACTGGAATTTTTTATCACTTTTCTTCTCATATTTATTCTATTAGAAAAATAAATTAATGCTTTAAAAATTATGAAATATATTTTAAATTCTATAATTAAAGAAGTTGGTGCTCCTAATCTGTAACAAAAATCTTTGTTTCAGATATACATTCTGATGATGTGGCTCTGATCCTTGTCTTAAAATACACAAACATAACATACAAAATTTAATGCTAAAATATGAAATCTGTATGATTTATATAAAAATTTATTAATCCAAAGTGAACATTTTGCTCAAAACTGTGACTGAAATACAATGCCTGGTTTCAACTCTGATAAGTATGAATACTATAGTATTAAGAGTTTTCAAAAAGCAGATAAAACTGTAATTTTATAGAAAGGTTTGTTATCACTATGGTTTGAAGTTACTCTTGAATGTTCTTTTCTGGTTTCAAGAAAATCTTAATAAATAAAAACACAAACTAGTACCTTGTGAAATAGGCCTATTTGCAAATGTAAACATCCTCATTGCAATGGAAAAATCATCCAAATTATTAAGGAACTGGCAAAATGCTTTAAACTGTGCAAATGATATACCCTAGAAGGGAAAAATATCTTTATTATAAAAAACATTTCATGAATGATAAATTTGAAAAATAGTTTCTATCAAAAATAACAGATACCTTGTATTCTTTTACAAACACAATACTGATCATTAATTCTTATTCAACATATTTTAAAAAATATTTGTAAAAACATTTGCCAATTTTCCAATAACCAATAACTAAAGCTATTCGGACATTTTTAGATGACCTTGCTTTGCTATAAAAATAACTGCCTGCTTAAATTTTTTTTAACTACAACCATATTTTTGAAAGTGTAAATTACAGTGTCTTCTCCTGTTTGACAATTTTGTTTTTATGCAAAATGGTGCTTTTAAAGAAGCAACGAAGAAAAGGCTATGTTTGTGCTCTTTCAGAAGAAAATTATTCATATTTAATTATTAAAATGCTGTGAAAACCAGGATTTTTCAGTATCTAAAGCAACAATAGACAATTGTATAGGGGAAAAAACATCAATGTTTGGCTTCAAGGAGAAAAATTGTTCAAAATACATATCCAAGGAAAAAACGGAATTTTTCCAATGTTGCAAAGGTACGAACTTTAACGTTACAAGAAAAGCCTTCAAGTCAAAGGAGAGTAGCATAATCATTAAAATGCTCAGTGTCGTCTGTAAAAAAAGTGGTTGATGCATATTTAAATCTTAAGAAGGCGAAAAAACGTAACGTGTATCGTCTTTTTGCACGACATATCGCTGAAAACAGATCCCGCTGCAGAATCCTCTTTGAGAAACAATAATTTGGGTAAACAAGGGTAAATGTTTTCACAATAGATGAATCTTGGGTATATTTAAATGATGGCAATAAAAACATGGTCATTTATTAACAGGAAAGAGAAGAAAAAAATCTTAGAACATGGTTCAAAGAATCTAAAGAAAGTTTTTCAAAGGGGTTTGTAATTGTTTTTGGTTTTGATATATTGAAAAATAAAAATTAAAGAGAGTGCAGAAAATATTAATAAATTTAAGAAAGTCAACCCCACATATTAATAGGAACATATTTTATACCCAATTTTCAAACATGAAATATCTTCTCTTTACCCACAGTGCCATCAATCAGTAGACTACATCAAGGTAGACATCAACAGAGGCATCAAGATAAAGCAAGCTGCCACACGTCAAAATCCATGGAAAATATGGAATAAGAAACTTGTATCAAGGTCATAGCCTTCACTCATATCTCTACGAAATCTCCTGATGTATCATCCACAGATTTTTGCGCTTTCGGACTTTTAAAAAGCATACTGTACAGTTGATCTACAATTCTCCTTGGACTTTGGAAACTGTTCATGAAGATTGGGGTAAAATGTTCTAAAAAATTATTACTGTCTAGGAAATTATGGTGTAGAAAGATAATAAAGAAAAAGTGTAATCAAATTTCAGGTAAAATATTTCTGTAAATACAATGAAAATCATCTAAAAAGTGTGCGAACAGCCTCTGTATAAAAAGTTGTATGTTTGAACGGTTGTATATTCTGAATGTACACCAGGTTTTTACCTCTAAATATATACATTAATATAGGTGTTATGGGCACAGTGAATAATCTGTTATTAATACATGATGCCTATTGTCATCATGCATATATTGCCTGCTCCACTGCTCTGAGTACAGGGTTACATTTTTAAATGGAGAACTCTTTCAACAAAATGGGAGGGGCATACATTTTTAAATGGAGAACTCTTTCAAAAAAATGGGAGAGCATTTCTGGAAAAAGGAGAAAAAAATCTACTTGCAATAATTCTACAATACAAATTCAGAGACCCACAATCGTCAGGACTTCAGGGATTTCGGATTTCAAAAATTTCCATATTTTAGACCATTAGTTTAAATCTAGTACAATAACATAAATTATAAAATTGAAAATATGAAATAGCTGTTTATGAAATAATAAAGCATTTATGATTTGAAGGGAATCGAAATTTACCAAAAAAAGCTTGTTTGTTTTATTAAACCTTTTTTCCAATGAAGTTATTTAAGTCGCTTCATTCATTGTGTTGATACATTTTCTTAAATTTTATAGGCACATATAATTTCTTCTGCAGTTAGAAAGTTCCACTTTTCAAGTCCTGTAATTGCCGTGTCAAGAATTTCCACTAAACTGCCAACTGATATCTTTTCATCCTCAAAAACCTCTTTGTCACTTTTTCACTACTGATAGCGATATTTTCGGAATTTAAAACTATATGATAGATTTTGCTGTCCGTTAGCTGATTACTGATTACGCACTGTCATTGCAAAGGAAAACTTCTGTTATATCAAATTCATGTATTATCTCCATGTTCTAACATCTTTCATATTTATCTCCACATTTATTTACAAATTCCACTAACCGAAAAATTTCACCTTCTATAGTGTACAAAATCTGCATTAAAATAAAGTTATTTTTTGTCTAATTTTGAAATCTCACTTTCTTAAGCCTGAATTGTGTCAAGGCTGCTTTAGAAGGCAAGTACCAAATGAGCTTTTGCTTAGCGTAACCTGCTAGAGCTCCAGAATTTGGAACTCTTTTTGATATAAATGAAAATTCAAACTTTAATTTTGATAAGGTAGCTATTATAATAATAGCCTGCAAAAAATAATAAGCTGGGTCAAATTAGAAAGTTAAGGAACATTACTATTTACAATACTCACTGAATTAGCTTCTTAGGAATCTAATTATTTTTCTTCCCCCCCCCACTATGGCAACAAGGAGGCGAACATTACTATTTACAATATTCACTGAATTAGTTTCTTAGGAATCTAATTATTTTTCTTTTCCCCCCCCCCACTATGGCAACAAGGTGAGGAAAAAAAACCTGAATGAGCAACACCCTAATCCAAAAGAATTAGTCTTGGTACTTATTGCTTAGGCCAGACAGAAAAATATTTCCTGCCATTTTTACAACTACAGTCAAAAGTCGTTAATCCGGACTCGTCGGGACTTCGACAATTCCGGATTATCGATTTTTCCGGATTATAGATCATCAGTTTAAATCTGGTAAGATGACATGCAGAAATTATAAAATAAAAATTATGAAACCGTAATTTATGAATAAAGAACAATTATGATCTAAAGGGTATCAAAATTTACAAAAAAAAAAAAAAAAAAAAAAAAAAGCTTAATATTTATTGTTTTACTTACTTATTAAACATTTCTTTCAACGTAAGTTGTTTAAGTTGCTTCGTTTTTTATGTGATAATACTTTCTCTTTAATTCTATAAAAGACATACTTCTTGTTCAGTTACAAAGTTCCGCTGTTCAAGTCCTATAATTGCTGTGTCGAGAATACCGACTCATTTGTCAATCGAAACTTTTTCGTTTTCAATAACCTCTGTTACTTATTTCGCTATCGGAAGCGAATTATAATGACGAGGAATTTGATTTAAATCATATCAAAGATGGAGTACATCGAGATGAAATACTACATTTAGTAAGGAGTTATAAGCCAAATAAAATAAAAACATCTGCCCTGAAGAAAAAAGCTGTATACTCAAGAAGAATACGAAAGAGAATTTAGTGCAGCTCAAGAATATTACAATAAATTATCTACGTTGAAAGTAAAAGCCAACAAGAAAAAGGATAAGTGTTCACAGCCTTCTACTGGTTCAACGAATAGTGGTTCTTCATCAGGAATAGTTACGGCCGCAAAACAGAAACTGCTGAGATCGAACTGGTTGAAGTTCAATGGAGACTCCCGAAAGTGGTTGACGTTTTGAACGAGGTTTAGTAAAATACATGAAGATACTCGCATCGACAAGAGAGACAAGTTTCATTATCTACTACGCAATCTACGAAACCTGAGACTGCGCCAAGAGCAATAGTGGAGAGTTTTCCTGCTACGGAAGAAAATTACGAAAAAAGCCGTGGAGTATCTCAAAGAACGATTTGGAAATGAAAATGTTTTAATTCAAATTTATGTTAGAGAGCTATTAAAACTGGTAATCAATGACAAACAAAAGATAGACTTATTAACTCTGACTTATTAACCATGCCAAGTTGCAAACTCAACTACGTGCATTGGAATCACTCGGTTTAACTAAAGATAAATTTGCAGTTGTTTTATTTCCTTTAGTGGAATGAGCACTTCCTGCTGATTTAATACAAATTTGGGAAAGACAACAAGGTATGTCTCCTGAAACAACAGGTAAGAGTGATATGGAGTCATTAATTGATTTTCTAAAAAGGGAAGTAGAAACTGAATTTAGAGTTAAACTTACCCGTGATCTTTTGGGTTCTGATAAAGTAAGTAATAAGAAAAAATAAGTTTTTTGACAGAAAAACCTGTTGTTCCAACTGCATGTGAAACTAATTAATGCAAATAGTAGTAATCAGTATGTAAAAGTGTAATGAAAATTTTCAAAAGTATAAAAAGTCTGATACTTGTATTTTTTGTGAAAAATCCCATTTGTCTGAAAGTTGTAAGGATGCATCTTTAATGAGTTTAGAGTTGTAAGAAAGAAGATATCATTAAGAAAAAGAATGTTTGTTTTGTGTGTCTTAAGAAAAACCATAGAGCAAATCAGTGTACAGCTAAACATAGGTGTACCTTATGTAAAAATCGACATTTTGTGATTATGTGCCCTGATTTGCCTTCTAACAAAACAAAAAGTGTCACAAAGTTAGGGAATGACGAAAACAAAACAGGCATTTTTAATAACTATGTTAAGGTATCAGATGTATATCTTCAAACGTTAATTGTAAAAATTCAGAATGGTTCTAAAGAAATGTTTGTACGAGCAATTTATGATAGTGGTTCTATGAAATCATATTTATGTTATGATGTTGCTCAAAGGTTAAATTGTAAGTGTGGTGAATCAAAAATTAAGCAATTTCTTTTTGGTGGAGTTGAGACTTCAGAAAATGTATATAAAACTATGTTATTGAAGTAAGCAATATATATAGTAAATATAAGTGTAATTTAGAGGTACTTGGTCAAAACAAAATTTGTTCTGAAATTAAACAACTCCCATCTGGTTCGTGGTTATGCGAACTTAAGTCA